GGGTGGACAGCGGACACCATGGCCCTTCTTTGTCGGTTGAATGGATGTAGGCCTTTGTGGACTCGGTGCAGACACCAGCATGACAGGACGGATCAGAACCTGGGCTCAAATTTAAAAAGAAAAAGAGCTGAGCATTACCAAAAACATAACCTCCTTGGTGGAGGTAATTATTTTTTTAATTTTAATTTTATTTTACTGTTATTTAACCAGGCAAATCCCACTGAGATCACAGATCTCTTTTTCAAGGAAGTCTGGTCTGAAGACAACTTCTTTAGATTGTACGGCTGTGTRAGGGAGAGTAACCACGCCCCAGTCCCCAGGTCACCACAGGCGTCTTGACATTACAAGAATATTTCAAATTAAAATATGTTGGTTTGGAATAAATCTGCCTGACTAAAATCAGTTTCAGCATGAATTTCATTATAGATCAGGTGATAAAAATAGAGAGAAGCACAGCAGAAACAAAAACCATGTAAACCAGTTTTATTCACCCAAATCAATAATATATTTTTAATATGACAATATTCATTTCACACAGCTGTTTTTTCCAAACCTTAAAAAGAAATAAGTGCTATTTTTTTATTTTGCTGATCCACACACAGAACCAAAGCATCTTGTATTATCTTGTGTTTATGTGATTGTGTATGTAAGTATTTAAAGTAAAGGTARTATGCTGTTAAGTGTCAGGAGGACTGTGATCAGTCATACATTGGGGAAACAAAACAGCCACTGTTCAAAAGAATGAGCCAGCACAGACGAGCTACTTCATCGGGTCAGRACTCTGCAGTTTACACTCATCTACAGGCCAGCGGTCACTCTTTCAGGGATGAAGATGTTCTCATCCTTGATAGAGAAGAACGTTGGTTTGAGAGAGGAGTAAAGGAAGCCATCTTTTTGAAGAAAAAACGTCCACCATTAAACAGAGGTGGAGGCCTTCGAGACCAGTTGTCCTCCTCCTACAACGCTGTTATTGCAAGTATGACTCAGCCCCCTGTGAGCAAAAGGTGTGAATCAGGGCCCCAACAATAACCAACACAAAGAGGAAAAAAAACAAGAGGACATTGAGCCCCGCCTGCATTCACTACATACAAATAACATGACACCAAAGAACCACAGCATTCAAACCAATAAGTCAGGTGATGGGGCACATGACCCTCTATGAACAATAGAGCTAATCAAGCCTATTGTTAGACAATGGCCACCTTTTGCATGTGACTAACCTGTTTGTCCATGTGGAGGCAGTGCTTATAAGGCTGAGTTCAGCTGAAACTCATCAGACTGAAGAAGTCTCTTGGAGAAGAGACGAAATGTTTCACTAAAGAAGAACCCATCCAGAGGACCTACTTATTTTTTCTTTTTGATWTTTAAAGWAAAAAAAACACCCAAGAGGATYATCATTTTAAATCCAATCRTGAGTTCCCACTAAACCATGTTTAAATTTTCTTTCTTCTCTCTTGTGACATCTATTTTTAACCCTAYGGCATCTTAAGGTCTGGGGCCTTTCAGCAGATCAGTGGAAGAGAGGTGACCGGTGGTTCGGGTTGTTCCGTCTCCCAACTTCTGTGGATTCCCCATCAGGGTCTCCATGGGGCTGAGAGGTYTGCGGGTCAAGGGTCTGTCTACAACAGTCAGGTGAGAGCTGACTATGGAGGCAGAACCGGAGCTGGATGGTTTGGAATCKGAAGAAGTAGGACTCAGAGGATCCAACTTCACATCGAGTTTGGATCGAAAAGACGTCGAGGGTGTTGAGCTGGCACCGCTCGGGTCAGTGCTGCTTCGGCTTGAGGTGAAAAACTGGCTGCCACCTGAGCCTGAAACGTCCATTTGAGGCTTGTCGCTTTGGTCTCCATCAGGGATCTCCTGGAACAAAAAACAGTAGAAAGAAATAAAGTACAGCAAGTACGAGACTCTCTTTCTCTGGGTCGCTTCCTGCCTTCCACTAATCCACCACAAGGTTTCCTCATCTGTCCTCTGTCCAGATGGCACACCGAGTACCTGTCTCTCTGATCACAGCTGCAGTAGCCTAATCATCACAGCCCGAGATCAGATCAGTGAGGCCATTCCTCCCGATTAAGCCTCTTCAGGTCACACTAGGGCTGGGCAATAAAATAATAATATCTATGGCAATAGACACATGATCATTATTAATGAAAAATACGTCCGATAGAATGTTGATAATTTCACTCAACTCCGATCTGAAACTACCCAACCTTCTGGAGGATGAAGGCATGAGTGGCTTTATCCGCCTGACCTCCTACAGCCAAGTTATGCAAGTCTTAAAGCTCAATTTATATATTTTTTTGCTCAAATCCGATTTTTTTTTTTTGCGTGGACGTTCACATTTTATTTTAAATGCAACTTCCATCTGACTCCAGTGTGAACTCTCACGACACCGATTAGACCTGCATGTGCACAAGATGTGACGACACATTCAGCTTGATGTTTACAGAAGTAAACATGGATGCTACTTGTTAGCACATTGATTCTGTAGTTGTGCAATCAGAGACGATTATATAATCATATGAAACGCTTCTTTAGTTCACCGTTTGTTTCTGAACCTGCCTCTGGCCGGCTGCTCTCACGCAGCATGYATTTATGGGACGATGCAATGAGCTGGACATACGGATCCAGTAACTTTAGTATCAGTATACGGGTTGAGACCGATGTTATTATCACATGTTTCTGTGGATTCTCAGTCAACTGGGACATGGAAAATTAAAAGAACAAAGAAGAAGCAACTGGACTTCTGTTCTGTAGATGCAGACATGTGGAGTTACGAGACTGCACAAGGCTGGTATCTTTATTCTAAATACTTAGATCGATCCACTCACCTCCACCTCACTGATGTAAATGTCAGATGAAATATGACACAAGCATTCAGATTGCAGTGTGAGTGTAGCCTAACTCACTCACCAAGTCCTTGGCTTGATCTTCTGAATATGGACGTTAAGTGGAACTACTTATTACCTCTCTCTCCTTGTCCTTTTTCTCTTTATTTTCCTTGTCACTGGAGCTGGAATCCTGTTCACACACAAAACCAATTACACTCAACTATCTGATTCAAACTATACAATGGCTTCACCACTCTAAACCAGTGTTTCCCAAAGTTGGGGCCGGGACCCAAGGTGGGGTCCCGAAAAATCAATGTGGGGTCCTGAAAAGATTTTCAGAGTTAATTACATTTTTGCCTTAGTTGTTACAAAGGAGTGAGGTTAGTGTATTTAAAATGGATAAATGTAGTATAAAAATATTGTTACTGTGCCCATGTTTAGTTGACCTGATAAAAATGTTTATCATACAAAAATAGCTGTGGACACAGGTCTCTGCTACTGTTATTTTGTGGGTCAAAGGCTGAAAAGTTTGGGAACCACTGAACTTTGGTTCCCAAAGTTGTGCTTGGGACCCAATTATGGGTCATGAAGCACCTTGGATAATCTCCAGAAATCAATTTAAAGGGTAATAAAATAATTGCTGATGTAATATTTTCTCAATAACTATTACAAAAACACAAAATAAGTATAAATAAGTATTTATATTTGTTTACGAGCTGTTTAGATTGTCAAAAAGGCTGTATTTTTAGGGTTATTAACCAAGTTTGTGTACTCAGACCAGTAATATTTGGGGTCACAAGTTTTTGCCATGAATATTTTGTGGGTCAGAAGATAAAAAGTTTGGGAACCACTGCTCTAAACCACCTTTTTCTTCTTCTTCTTCTTCTTGTCATCACTGCCAGAAAAGTCTGAGTCCTTAATAAAAAAAATTGCAACGTTACTGAACTTTCATTTTAGAATTCCAACAAGCAAGTTTGGTTAAACAAAACATTTCTAATCTACCTTTTCCTTGTCTTTCTTCTTCCTCTTATCCTTCTTCTTTTTCTTCTTCTTTTTCTCRTCATCACTTGAAGAATCACTGGATGAAGAGGAAGAAGACGAATCCTGGACCAAAACAGTCGTAATGTTGTTTCAATGATTCGTTTTGCATCATTTTGATCATTTTAGAACGGGCAAAGTATGAGAAAATTCAAACATCTGACAAGATAAATTGACTCTACCTTCTTCCTCTTCTTGTCCTTTTTCTTCTTCTTGTCCTTTTTCTTCTTCTTTTTATCATTTTTCTTCTTTTTGTCCTTTTTCTTCTTCTTTTTCTYCTTATCCTCGTCACTGGAAGAATCACTGCATGAAGAGGAAGAAGAAGAATCCTGGACAAAAGCAGTCGTTATGATGTTTTCGCTTTACAGCTTTTTATTAGTTGTCATGAATATGAATGTGCAATGACACAAGAAAATTAGATAAAACATTTATACCTTCTTTTTCTTCTTTTTCTTTTTCTTGTCTTTCTTCTTCTTCTTCTTCTGTAACAAGGAAACATGCAGGTGATTCATGTGCTACAACAGAACTATATACTGTGTCAGATTACAGCTGTATATCTTACCTTTTTGTCATCGCTTTCAGAGGAAGAAGAGGATGAGGAAGAGGAGGAGCTTTCATCAGATGAGCTGCAACTCTAGAAATGAGATCAAACAATTGTGTTATCTGACTCCGCTGAGGTGCAGAGTGTAAATCCAAACCATGAAGAACGAGAGCGCTAGACTGAAAAGCAAACTGGTGCTGTGTAAAAAAAAAAAAAGAATTGATCGTTTAAAATCACTACTTTTTACCTTCTTCTTCTTCTTTTTCTTTTTCTTCTTCTTCTTGTCATCCTCACTATCAGAAGAGGAGGAAGATGAGGAGGAAGAGCTGGAATCCTGTGGAACACATTAATGTCAGTGATATTTATTTAGAAAGAAACACTTCAATCAACCCAAAAACAAGCAGGAAGGATTTAAAGCAGGGCTGTTCAACTGAACTGCTCAGGGGGCCACAGCTACTCCTGAATGTTAGTATGTAACAAAACAACTATTATTCTCTTTTAGCTTTTTTATTTATTGATTTATTTTATTAAGGATTTTTTAATTACCGTATTTATTTGTGTAAAATATGATCTCATGAATAATACGACCCCCACTTTTTTTTTGCTTAAAAAGCATAAAAAATTTAATCCTCAAACTACCTCCAATTTCATACAGACTTCAAGATTTTTCAGCCTTTGCAGT